AGCAGGAATTCATGCAGCCAGGCTGCAGATATACCAGCATTACAATGTCATCCTAGAGGAACTTGCTTCTGGAAAGGATATGGCTAGAAAAGGCATATCCTGCTAATAAGGATGCATGTTGGCATGTTAGTAATGTGCAGGAACGTCTTTAGGTTTTTGTATGGATATAAATTTTGCTTTGACAACAGTGAAGTGCTTATTACTGCCCTGACAGGTAATACTAGCTAATAGAATAATATGAATTTAACATTATTTTCAATTATACCTCTTCTCACATACAAGTTCTTTTGTTAACACCCAGATTTTACAGAATAAATACCTGCTGGGAACAGGAAATTTTTCCCATTCAGGGCAGTCAAGAAAATATATCAAGTGCACACCTCAAAGCAATAATCTATACAGCAGGCCTTCTTCTATTCATTCCGTGGAAGACTTCTCAGAGACAATGCATTGAAAATATATGACAGACGTCCTCAAGTCTGATTAACCTCAGATACTGATAAACATCTGTAACTATCTCATTAGGCAAAGAGGATCATAACCCCCTCCCCTCCTGAGGCTAAACTGGAAAAGTTGGCTAGGATGAGGTGACAGATTCCACAACTATAGCTTTGCAGGGCTATATTGGGAACGTAAGCAGCTAAATCCTGGCAGCTACCAAGACTCTACAACCAAATGAGATAACCAGGAATCTCCAAAAGACTGACTCATCTTAGGGCTGGTGCTCAAGGGAAGTCAGATGAAATGCTGCATGTTGGACCTTTCCACAACTACAGACAGCTGGCTCAGACAGACATCTCTATTGTGAGCACTTGCAGTTAGAGGAAATGATACCACTTCCCTGACTTATTTCAGAGATCTTAATTATACTAGTGATAGAAGCAGCTGTGATGTTTGGGGCTTAGGCAATGAAAACTTGGAATGCAGACAAACAAGAAGCAGCATCCAGAGCTGTGCCACTACTACACCTGCCCACGATTTTTCAAATGTCACCAAAAATGCTACAAACAAAAGCCCAGAAATTCAGATGTTCCCTGGAGGCACTTGGCTGTGGAACAGGCAGAGTTACATCCAGCTGTTTCTGACTGGACAACTTCATACAACTTCTGAGGAATTATTCACACGCTGATTTTGTTTGCTCTTTTGAAAATGACTTCACTTTAAGTCTAAAATATAAACTGTTTGACTATAAACTATTACAGTATCAATCCTGTTCTGTCCCCTGACCTAACATACAGAATCATGGAGAGTGTAAGCTACCTGTTGTGTCAAGCCTTTAAAGAGAGCTCTGGTAATGTTAATCAAGTTTTTGGATCCAGAAACCTTGGCGTACATGTCTTTAATGCCAATTAGTTTGCAGATGGTGATGATAGCTCGGTGGCAACGAAGACCATATCCTGGGGAAAAAAAAAAATTAAATTAGCATTCTATGATTATTTGTAAACATACAACTTAGCTAAGGAAGAAGACAGAACTAAGACCTCCTCTTAGTTATTTTTGTTACCTAGCATGTTAGAACACATTATATCTTAAAAACGACAAAACCATTCTGGGAAGACCATTCTTCCCAGTCTTTGCAGCCATGCTAACAAAAAGATTCTATTTTTCTAAATACTAAATATACCTGATAACATATTGCAAAACCAAATGAAAATGTCACCATCTATAAACTCAAAACATAAACCCACAAAATATGCAACCTGAAGAATTGTTCAATACCACAGGTTTGGGTAGTATTCCTTAAAAGTACCATTGGCAGCTTTGGAAGAATCTTCCACAAACATACCCCACCACCCTGGGAACGCTCACCAAACAAAAGGTAATTTCTTTCTTCCACTTAGCAGAAAAGTAACACTCTAGTACTTTCCAAAACTAAAAATAATAATTGAAAAAAAAATAGCAGAGAAGCAAGGCAACAAGTTTAATTAAAAGCGTATTAAAAAGAAGCCATTACAAGGGGAGAAGATCTCAATGAAACTGTAGATCAACCAAGACTGTCTCTTCCAGAAAGCAACATCTACGTAGCTTCAAAACCGCTTCCTTTGCAATTTCAGGTGACCAACTGCTGAATGACAGGTTCAGTAACTCCTAACAATGGTGAATCTGACTTTAAAGTCCTGGTTCATCTACATGATGGAGGGATTTAAACCAGTCTCCTGTGGTGAAGTTACGCTTGAAACAACTGGTATGCTCAAGCACTGCTGTCCTTTGGGCTTCCCTCCAGAAGGACCCTGCAGTAGAAGCAATGTCAGTCTCTCTCATTCTCAGGGATATTGCTGCTGGATTAGTGGTCCACAGTGCCTTCCTAAAGCCTGAGATTGTGCTCAAGAGCTCTATCAGACACAGAGCAGGCAGAGAAATTGAGGAGGGAAGGAAAAAGGAAGTCAAAGTAAGTCTGCAGGCAATAATGCTCCAACAGAAAAGTCTGGTCTAAACACAGAGCTGCTGGGAAAGAGGGTGAGTGCCTGCTGGCACTGGTGTCTCTTGCTGCTCGCACGCTTTTAGCTAGCCAAATAAAACCAATCATATTTTTATTTCATTCAGCTCTTGCTAAGCAAAGCTTCGAGCAGTGAGAGTGGGACTGAAGCTGCCTGCAAACTCCGGAAGGCACCAGGGCACCCACTTATGCCAAATTCACACTTTGCAGTTGATCTCCAAAACATGAACCTGTTACTTGCCTCCTGACTCAGCAACAGCAATTCACCCACTTCACAATCTACGCAAAACATAACAGCTACTAGAAAGTTACGCTTGTCCTCTTCAGGTTACAAAAGACGGCAGAATACGATGCACCATCAAGAGAGTAAGACAGCACAGGTTATCAAGGTTCTGTGCAGAGACATCGCTTCCTTTCTCCTGGTCCAGCAACTGGCATGAATTACGTTGGGTTATTTCATTAGTGGCACAACGGAAGGACGCGGAATGGAAATAAAGTAGGTAACAGACTCCTCAGAGGTAAAACTACATTGCAGTTCGTAGGGGAGTGGAGAGGAGAGAGAAATGTATTTCGAAATCCACAAACACAGCAGAGATTTGCATGTCATCTGCATCCACCTCCATCACAGAGCATTATTTTAGCTCCAGTGCATAGTAATAGTACATGAGAGTTAACTGCAAATGGTTTCTTAGACTTGCCAGATTTTCATGGAGGAGTTATTTTTTGAGGAGTCTAATTTTGCTCTCTCGTGCCCCAGAGAGATTTGTTTCACATGGCCTAGCTCTATTAATCTTTAAAAATGGTTTTGTGATAGTTCTATTGTATCTTACTTAAAAGCTGAAAAGCCAGGTTATTGATTAGTTCACTCTGAGACAGTCTTGCTGCTGAGGAAATGAGGTGAAAAAAATTTTTAAAAAATCTATTCCAGTACTGCATGTTGTATTGTACCAATATGTCCCTTTTTCTTTTAACCTGTAATCAGAAAAGAAATTATAACCATACAAAGCATTTGTTCTGCTGTTTGAGAAAACACTGTTTTCTATGCTACCAGACAAAGTCAAGTTTTAGACACAATTACGTCCGGATGGCCTCTAAAAGGCAGTTTGCCAAAGCTTCATTTTCAGTGACTTCAAGCATTTAATTTCTGGCGCTTTTCTCCCATCTTAACTCAGTCAGCTTTCTGCAGATTGTTAATACATGAAACTCAGAAGCCAGCAAACTAGTCCATCAGTCGCAGAACAAAATTTATTCCAAACACAAAAGCAAAGGATTCCAACTGCAAACTCCAGCTGTGGAGAAAAAGTTGAGCTCAGACATTTTTAACTTTCTTGCAGCACTCATCCTGCCTTACTGAGCTAAATCAATGAGGCCAGAACAGGGTCATCTAAACGTAACAAATTTTCTCACGCTGAAAAAGATGCAAATTTAACCAAAAGAAGTATTTAAAATGTATTCTTCCTAGAAATCTGTTATGGGCAATCTACATTAGAATTTCTGGGTAGCCACTAACAAGAATTTGGAAAGAGAATATCCACTTTCAAATCACACTAAGGGACTGCTCTGAGATCAGTTCACATTCAGATGTTCACACTACTTTTTTAATTTGGATTTTTCACTTGTCTACTATGTAATCCTGGCTATATGATGGGGCTTTTCCCCACTTCACAGGGATTAGGAATAAATTCAAGAAAGGAACAAACATTTAAGTGTAACAGTGACTTTACCTTTTCTAACAAACATTAGGCTTTGTGGTGATCATTTGATGAGATAGCTGCTCCTGCGTATAGGAACTGGAAATAACTGCCAGGTCTAATTATGCAAAGTGAGAGGCTTCAGCACACATAACTACACAGCTGTAATGCCATCAGCAAACAGAAGGAATCTTTTCTACTTTAAGTAAAGTATATGCCAGACTCTAAGGTGAAAACTATGAATAACTGTAATTTCTTATACCTCTTAGTGACAGCTTCAGGGTATCATTGCTGGGCTTCACAGCCACGTAAGTGTATAAAACAAACCGGTTTGCACCTCCTCTTATTAATTCATGTTAGGAACTAATTTACACTAGTTAGAGATGTATCAACGTGGCTAGCACAGTAGTCTCATGACTACTGTAATTGTAAAGTCAAGTCAGAGATGAAGATTCAGAACTGCTCACACTCTAAAAAGTAGCATATTTTCAGCACAGACGAGCAATACCCTGGGTAGCTTCCATCCAGCTGGCATGTGCTAGAAACAGGAGTGATCTGGAACGGTGGCAAACATGAAGTCCAGAGCCTGCCTCAAGTTAAATCTTGTTCTGCAGCATGTCCACGAGCCATTGTAAAATCACAGCCAGCTCCCGCTGCTGCTATGAACCCTTCCCTTAGAGTATAACACAAAAGCATGTCAGAGGCTAAGGTAAAATCAGGAAAAGCTTTATCTATACCATCCCTAAAACCTCAATTTTGCATAGACATATAATGTTAGAGCTTGTTTTCAGGTCGTGATCACATAATGAAGTCTCTCTCTCACACACACAATTTATCTACAAAATTTTGCACACTGATCTATCTAAATCTATCGAAAATTTTACACACTTCTTAATAAGGCCAATGATGCCTGCTGCTAAGAACACACAAATTTTTCCTAGAAAACATCAAACCTATTTCAGGAAACGCACAATCTAGTTCCATCAGTTATAAAACAGGGAAAATATTCATTAAGTGGAAAAATGTTTCTTGGTTTTTGCAGGATACTTCCACATATGTGAATGTGTTGTGTAACTGAAAAGATACTCAGACAAGGCAAAGCACCGGCCAAAACTGGCAGCAACAAGCTACCAAGGCTAAGGTGCTAACGTGACAGAACTGGACTTGTGTTCTGACACAGTTTGGCATGACACTCTCACAAATAAACTAGGGAAATAAGAACCAGGTGAAATCATAATGAAAGTCTGTATACCCATTACCAGCAGTCTGCTGCCAGGTCAAGAGCATTTTCCACATAGGATCCTGCTGTAGATTTGTTATGACTTTAATACCTGCAATTATCTTCATTATGGCTTGGATGGGGGAACAGAGACTGAAAAAAACAGGTGGAAAGGATATCATCTTGGGAAAGGCTGCAAGCAAACTGGGGGTCAGAAAGGAAGTCAATGTAAGGCTGACAAACTGGAGACGTGGTTTGAAACCAAAGCACCGAAATTCAACAAAGACAGATGCAGAGTGCTTTACTGAGAAATCAAAAGCACAAGTACAAAACAGAGGAGACTGACTAAACGGCAACAAAAAAGGAGCTGGGGATTATAAGGGACCACAAAAAAAACCCCCAGAGATCAGCAGAATTATCCTGCTGCAGCACATCTGAAGCCTTGAACAAAATGCACGTCTTTGAAACAGAAAGACCCTAGAAGGTAAAACGGATCACACTGAAAACTGCAACGCATTAGAAATAAGCTCCCCAAACTACCTCACATGTTAAAACTTTTTTATGTTGCAATCCTGAGCAGTTTACAAGGTTGCTTGGAATGCATCCCAATCATTGTAAATGACTGGCAAAGACAATATTGCAACAGCTCTGAAGGTGAGGAAAGGAATCGTAGAAACTCAGCAAGGTGTCTTCAAAAGGTCAGCGTTCATGTCAGCTGTTAGAGGCAGCACACTGAGCTGCCATACTTCACAACTATTGACAGGGATTTACTACCACTGTGGACTGAAAGTATTTTTAATTGCAAGTACTTCCAATGGACTGCTAGGAGAGTGACAAGAACGCACAGGGATGCAAACGTGACCCACAAACGATAACAGAGACACTGATGAGAACCAAACCTGGTCATTCACACTAATTGATGAGAGCATGTGAGAACGTTTATTCTAGTGAGGTTATCTGACTGGGGAACTTCTCAACTGGGAAACTGAGGGAAAAAAGTGAAATCAGAAACAAAACATAGAGAGACGCAGACCTGAAAAAAACAAGCATAGAGACCATGAGAGGAAACAAACATCGCCACTAATTGATGGGCTATCAAGAAATTACTGGTGCCACTTCCAGAAAGGTCAACCTGGCACTTGCAATAAGACTGTAAACCAGGGGAGACCTGGACTGGGAGGGGTGCGAGAACTGACAGTGCTATACAAAGGGCCCGGGAGCCACAGGCTGGCTGTCTGGTGATGGCTGCTGAACGGGCTGAGCATCTGTATCTTCCCCAGTCCTGGTATGTGTGAGGTGTGCATGTGTTTTCACCAGCAAACTTTAAGCTGGACTAGCCGGTGAGCAGAGGGGTCCCAGGTGTGATGGGGTCTCAGGTGGGCAGGGGGTCTTGTGCTGGTATACCCAGGGGCACTTGTGAAACGTGGAGTGCACAAGGGACAAGCGTGCGAGTGCACGTGTGTTGGCTAGTGAGCATCAGCCTGAGCCAGCCGGCGACTAGGGGACCTGTGAAGTGGGTAAGAGAATCTGGGCAGGGGTGCTGGGCACACACAGGGGCTGTGCTGGTCCTCGAGGGATCCGTGAATGTGTGTGTGCTTGTGAACCTGGAGAGTGCTGTGTGTGCCTGCACTAGTGATCCATCTCTGCCAGCCAAAGAGGAGGAGAGGACTTGGCTGTGTTTAGGCGGGTTCTGTACGTAGGCGCTGTTGAAGGCAGCACCTTGTCTGTGGCCAGCTGTGCCAGTGTCCTGTGTCTGTGTGTCTCTGGGATGCAAACCCAGCTTCATTACTGGTTGAATCTGCAAACAGGAAAGTGACAGCTGCATCCCTCAGCCTGGAGAGAGGCCCTGAGTGCCTGGGCTGGGCTCCAGAGGTTGGGCAGGAGGGTCCTGGACTGAAGCAGCTGGAAGAGGTGGCCGTACATCTAACATCACTTAACAGTGGCTTTGTGGAAGAACAGACCTGTGAGCTGAGAGCTACCAGGCATGGACTCGCTGCTACTCCCATCTAACATACAGGAGTCTAAAGAAGCATTTGCCTGTACTACAACTGGGATCAAAGTGAAGAACAGCTTGCAAAGATGGAGAAATGAAAACACTGCTACTGTCTGACAATCAGATGGTCTTTGTGCTGGTATGGTGCAGAACAAGCCAGGGTAGATAATCCCTCTGGTTTCTACACTGGGAGCTCTTGATTTCAGGGAAAATAAAGCAGTAATGGTCTTGAGGAAGTAGCAGGCTAGATGCTGTCCTGGCTCCAACTCATGACCACAGGTACTCTGAGGCAGTCAAGGGAAGACATCTGCCCATCCTATCCCAGTATGGGTTTTGGAGGGACCGGCACACAGATGTGGCTTGCACTCTGATTCCCATTTGAAGTGTTCCCACTACTACACACTGAACTACCTCTGAATCTTGTCTTGAAAACAGTGATTAAAAAAATCACTGAAAAAAAATGGAAAGAACCTATCAGTTCTCCAACGCATGCATGGGGCATATGATGGGAAGAAAAACCTGCAGAGATCTTCTAAAGGCCTTTGCCTCTAACATCGGTGTATTAGATTAAGACTTTTCCACATCTAGGCAATTTAGAGCCAAAAGAACTACACCTAGGAAACATGAAAGAAAACCATGAATAGAGCTCCCACCAGCGTAAGAGGGACAAACCCTGATACACAATTACAAAGCCACGTCATCAACAGTAGGTATTTCTAATGAAAAAGAATGGATAATCTTCAAAAAACATGGTAGACTAGCACCACATGATCCATCTCTGAACTAAATAGACATTGCACAAATTTAACTTCATCAAATAAATACCAGTCAGTAATTAATAAAACTTCAAAATTTCCAGGAAGCTTTAATTACCTTTGTTCTGCTTCTTCATGCGGATGGTTGTGCTTTTGAATCTCACTGTAATGTCATGGTAAACTGGAGGGGAGGAAAAAAAAAAAGGCATTACAGCTAAGTTCTTCCTTCTAGAAAAGGTTTACCTCAGCACATTTAACAAGTACCTTTCTTTTTCAGAACTGTGGATGAGAAGGTGGTTTTACAGGTAAATTTCTGGAATAGATAAAGAAAGTTTACACATCTGTGAATACTATGTTGCTGTTGCATACAAAGCCAAACTTTACTCGAAAAATATGAAGTGTTTGTATGCCTCCAGTGATCCTCATTGAGATCTGAAGTGAGCTCACGTGATACAATTTAAACCTCCTCATGCTCAGATTTTCTAATAATTCAGCTTTTAACCTAAGATTTCCCCATAGACTTAACCATTCTTGGATTTTCCATACCAAATATTTACCATTCCAGTCTTCCTGCCTCTTTCTGCTTCAAAAGGCACCCCAAACTCATATCCTCTGGTGGGTGGCTGTTACATATCTCTGATTTAGCGGCTCAGTCTCTAAGCAGTGCTAGCACTGCAGCCAAGATGGTTCACAGAGGACTTCTAGGTTAAGAAGAATGGAAAGCATGGTGGAAACACCACCAGTTTTTAATCAAATCCCCAATGTGTTAGTGGGAAATAATAATGCTCAAGTAGAAGACTCCTGAGGATAACTGCAGTTTCGTTTTTGTAAGCTGAAGTTTTATTATACAGAATATTTATCTATGCAATGACTTGGTCCAATATTCATATACTCTGTAAGGTATTATCTTTCAAAATTTTTCTGAAAGATAACTGAACATTTGATATACTGGTGCTAAGTCTGACGGAGAGGACTTGTAAGGTGTTAAACTGAATTAACAAAAGGCTACCATGAAACATCAGACTGACTGACGAGATGACCAGACAGTATCTAACTTCCTTAACTCTTATCCACCCGAGAGTCCTGAGAGAGCTGG